TCTAATCATGGATTCATCTTCCGATCCCTATTTGCCTTATGACGGGGGAGGAGACAGTATTCCCTTGAGGGAATTACATAAAAGAGGTAATACCATCCCCTTGCTATCTATCCTGTGTTGGTATGTTTTGCATGTGGCTGGGCGGATCGCTAGTTTAAACAGGTTCTTGGTTGTCCTTTAAATACTGCAGTGTGTTGTTTGGTTTTGCAGGGTGGTTAATAAGGGGAAAATGCAACCTTTTTAAACGGTTCTTTCGCGTCCCTGACTGCTTTCTCTGTGCAGATTAGTACTGCTTCAGATCACATCGGGCTCGGACTCCATCTTCTGTGTGAAAATCCTCTTTCTGTTTAACTACAAAAATGAATTAATCCGCTTTTACAGCTAACTAAAGTCGTGTTGGTTGGCACCTAAAATGTATTATTTTTCTTCCCATGGAAAACTTGTGTTTTCTTTCATTTACACAGAGAAATCAAGTGCCGATATAGCATAATATTTCAACTGCTGCCAGTTACCATGTAGATTTTAATACCACAAAGTAAATTTGTAGTAGAAGCTCTGTCGGTATTTTAGAACATTTTAAAATGGCAATTAAGTTGAACAAGTTTTTCTTTTTTTTAGTTCATAGGTATTTTAGCTCATTAATATACTACACTACCTTCCACAGGTATTTTGTAAAATTTGATGTGATAGAACATATTTAGGGGATTTTTTTACATATTAGAAAATGTAGTCGATATTAGTGAAAAATGGAAAAGCACCCAGCACTCCTGTAAATCTCTTGGCTGGCGCTGCCTTGGTCTAAAAACTAATTACCTGTTAATTAAATTGCTCTTTGTCATTTTTCTTAAATTGATTACTCTAGAAATAGACTGATTTGTTCTAGAATAAAAATTGAACATCAAGGAAAAATCTCCTAAAGAATCTCCTAACTTTTATTTCTGAGCCATGTTTTGGATTTCTGGATGGTTTTATAAACTTACTTTATAGTTTAACCCAAACTTTTATTAGGAAGTCGTGATTTCCTGGAACATATGTAACCGGTTTTGTTTAAAATATACTTTGTATTCTGAGAATTCTTTTTAGTATTAAGTTTCATTAGAATTTTAAAGTTATAATGTATTCAACAAATTTTATGATTTTATTGTGTCTGTTCGGCTCTGAAAACTTGTAATGTTTTTTATTTTGTAGTATTCTGCAATTAGTAAAACCTTGCTTTTTGCATTTTGAGAAAAACTGTGTAAATATTGTATTACATTTTTGTGTTCTTTCCTACAGAGTTGATTTCTTAATATAATTTCATCATATATATTTATGTATACATGTATATATATCATGGTAGGGAAATATCTTATAGCATAGAGAAGAAAATAATTTCTCATAATTTACCACCCTGAGTGCTTCTTTTTCTTGTCCAATCTTCAATTTTCTTGTAAGGATTTCTTTTAACAGGAAGCAAGATGAATGAATAATGACTATTCAAATGTCACATTACTTGATAATCAGTAATTAAACTAAAACATGCCAAGCCATGTTTTCTCTGGTCTATTACAACATCTGTTTGCCAATGATAATAAACCAGAAGACCTGGACTTGAGACATGTAAATTTCTTCTGTGATCCTTGACAGTCTTTGGCAGAACTTACGGACTCTTTATACATTAAATACACAAATAGTAAGAAATAAAACAAAATTCATGTGAGAGTAGGCATTGGTTGCTGATAGTACCAAAATACAAGCTTTTTATTTCTATTACATTCTCATAAGTAATACTATAGGACTCTTGTTTAAAGTATGAATCAGTTCCATTTTTAGTAGACCAAAAAGGTTCCTAATCCTTTGATAAGTCTCTATTACTATAAACCAGTGTTATTTGAAAGTAACATTGTGTGCTTGTAGTACATGTCAGTTATTTGGCTTGTATGACTGTACTGTATTACCTAAAGCATACTGCAGTATCTTACTGTCTATGGGTAAGAGGTTATTTGTTTTCCATAATTTATGACCCATTGTAGCCATGGGTCAACACAAAGGAACTGCTGATCTAGAGACAGGCAGCTAACATGAATCAAGGAAATGGAATCACCTTCCTCTGAGGACAAAACTACAATAATTATAAATAGATCTTCAGGCTGATAAAGAATGAAAATGCAGATAATGAAACATAAAGCTGTGAAGGATATTGATAAGATAAACATGGATCTGTTTACTGAATCCCTAAGTGCTAGAGCTAGGGATTACCGTTTTTGGGTAAATGACATTGAATAATATATTTGAAGGCAAGGCAGTAAATAATGAAGCTTCACTAATGTAAATAATATAGAGGCCGAAGTTATCAGTAGATTCAAAATAGAGTAGTTAATATATTGTTGGTGGATTAGAAATTAAGATGACATTTTAGGAATAGCCATCTTTGGGGGTAACATTTCTAGATAGAAACAGGTGATTTCTCTCAGAATAAAATGTCTCTTCCGTTTTTATCAGACAAAACCAAAATAAAAAACATGGTCTGTTTGGTTTGTTAGTTTTACATTTTTTACTTTCTTCTTAAATACACGCATATGAAATTTAAGTAGTTTTAAATTTGAATTGCCTTTTTTTTTTTTTTTTTTTTTTTTTTTAAAACTTTTTATTGGTTTTTTTTTTTTGGGG